CCCCCCGCCCCGCTCTCGCTCTCTCCCCTTCTCCCAAATTAAAAAAAAACACAAACCCCTATGTTCTTTTTTAGTTATTTATTAAACTGCACGATGAGCGGAGCTAGTGCGGGTGGATGGATAACTCTGGGGTCTTGTTCTAGAGCAGGTTGTTTATTTTCACTGTTAATCCATGAATAGGATCAATACATTTTAAACGCAGTTGGGCTTTGATGTCTTAAACCAATGACAGACTGGAAGTTACAGTGTTCATGGACAGAAATAATCAGATGAAAATAAGTGGAAAGGAAAATAGTTCAGAACTTTGTTTTGACCACAGTATCTGCATGAGGATCAATGCCTGTAATTTACAACTGTGTCAGAGAGGTCGGACGTGCATATTGAAATGCACGTCCAAGCAGTCATTCTGTCCAAGCAGTGCCGACAGTGGAGGAAAATGTCCGAGTTGGTGAGTGACGTTAAAGGTCTTGATCTTGTTTTTAGTGCCTGAGATGGGCATAGTGAATAAAATGCATTCCATCACCTCAAGTTGCTTTTTTGAAAATGAAAGGATTCGGGTTCTTTATTGTCCTTATGCTGCCTTCCCCATGGCTTTTGCTCTTCAAAACAAAAATATGCTGGACTAGGGACCCCGCAGGTGGCGCGACTCCCCTCGGCGTGGCTGCGGGGCCCGCAGGAACACCATTTTTCGTTGTGGGATGGGAGGTCTCGGCGTGGGCTGTGTGTGCATTTGTATCTCCCGGTGCATTTGAAGGTTGGCGGGGCCGGCGGGAGGTTTCCCCGGATATGTGGGTGTGCGCCTCTCGGGAGGGGAGGGCCCGGAGGGGAGGAGGAGGAAGGGGGAGGTTACTGGCGGCGGCAGCACCGGCGGCCCGGGCTCTGGCTGTCGGGGAAGCTGCTGAGCTGTGATGGTGATGACGAGGTGAAAATGGCGGATCTTTCGAAATACAATCCCGGCCCCTGACATACCAAGGCGGCGGCGGCAGCGGCAGCGTCGCCACCCGGGCTCCGTGCTCAGCCCCGGGCTCCCCGGGGCGCCCCACTTCGGGCTTACCGGGATAGGAAGCATCTGGCCAGAGCTGCCGTGCGCGGGCAGAGCAGGCGCCGCCGGGCTCGGAACTGCCCGGGACCTTCTGGAGCCCCCACCTCGGAGCCCGAGGGAGGAGAAAGCGGCAGCCGCTGGAGGTAGAGAAGGGGTACCCGGGAGCTGCTCTGTCTTGAGATCTCTTTATTTTGGGGGGTGGGGGGTGAGGAATAGACTTGCATTGTGGATCAAGGAATGACTAGTCCGGAGTGCAAAGAATCAGTAGCCTCGTAATGACATCAACACTGAGTATTAAGAGGGCTCGAGTTTGCTCTGATACCTAAGGCTGCTGCTGAGGCCTAGAGGAACCGCTAGCACTTATCATGATTTCCCGATTTAATATTCGAAATACCCACCCTGATGGGTGTTGGTTTAATGATGTTCAGCAGTTTATGGGGTTGTATGTTTCTTTAGGGAGGCAGAGCATTGGCATTTTATTCTGCGTTTAAGTTCTTGATTTAGATCATAGTCTATAACTTGTTGGGGTGTGGATGGTCACATTTTTTGAGCGTATGGACCAGTTTTGTAACAATTAAAAATGTCTTTTTTTTATTTTTTATGGCTCTGTCATCCAGAGTGACCCCTTTGCCCCTGCCATTGGCAAATAACAATTGAGATACTGTCACGCATCCTTTATATGTATGTTTTTCTCTTTGCCCCCTCCCATCCATTTCATCAATTCCGAGAGGAAAGTTATGAAAGATTTTGCAGTTTATTTTATAATCCAAATGAATTACAGCAGCTCTGGGAGCTCTGTCAAGTTTTGCCTTCATTGTTAAGAAGGAAGTTGTGATAGCTTGATGCATGCATCTGATGTGAATCATTAAGTTGGTAAAGATGAATTGATAATTTTTATATTCTAAAATACTGGACCCCTTTATTTAAAGAGCTGGAGTATTGGATTGATTGACTTTATGACAGCCATAATTTAATTTTGTTAGGTTATCTAAAGATCCATGTTTGTTTTAGATTGTGCTGCAGATCCCTGAAGAGCCTGTCTCCTTGTACAGGACAGTAGTGTTACTGAAAATTTAAATATGAATCAAATTTTTATATGTTAATTTCAAGCCCTGTTTTTTTCCAGCTTTTGCAGTAGAGGATTGGGTCAGTGACATTGAGTATAGGAGAGGAAACAGAATGGTGAATAATGTTTAAGAAATGGCTACTGGTAATTTTATGATTAGCAGTAATTTTTCTTATCCAAGTTTCCTACAAAGAGATGATATATTATGTCATAAGTGTCATACATGCATTTTATTCAGAGGGGAAATATTTTGTGTATATGTGTGTGTGTATCTTGGACATTTGGCTTTCATCCATTAGAAGACTAAGGGACCAAAGTTTTTTTTAGGAGAACTGAGAGGTACTTAGATTTAGTTAATGACTTTTAAAAAATCTTTTGTCTGATGTTCTTGTATGTAGTAGGAATTTGATTGTGGGGGTTTTTTCTTGTTAAAGATTTTATGTTGCAATTATTTGGTCCATGGCAACCCAGCTGCTAGGTTAGTAGTAAGAATAAGAATATTAAAAATAATTAAAGAGGGAGATTAAAATGTCCTTTTCATTGGCTTTTTTTTTCTTTCAATCACAGAGGGCTGTTGTCTTTTTGTGATTCTTTGTGATTGTCTTTAAAGACCAGTTTTTAGATTGTTGTGATTAGAACAATTGTCTATTAATAATTAGAAGTGTCTTAGAAAGAAATGAAGAGTTATGCCACTGGAGATAGTCCAGTGTCTTTTGCAGGGAGAGGAGCATTATACATGTCCATTACTTTTTTCGAATATTGGTTATTTGTTATCTATTGCATTCTACATTCTATTCTAGGGATAGGTGATATCATTGCCTTGGAAAACTTTTAGGTTAGGAATCTTTGGAGGTAAATTGGAAGGATGGGGTTGAGGAGGGCCTTAATGCATGCAGAAGGCCTTGAGAATTATAGAAAAGTTTTAAATAGGAGACTGACAGCCTCTGAGATGCACTTGAGGAAGATGAATCCTGTAGCTTTTGTGTGGGATGTGTTGTAGGTTAGAGGAGACAGAGGTAAAAATACCATGGTAGGCTAAAAGCTTTGGAGATGTGGAAATTCTCAGTTGTAGTGGGAAGGAGACACTGTGATATATGACTAGTTCTATAGAGAAATATCGAAGATGACAAGACCTTAAACCCTGCTTTTTGATAGAATGTTGAATGCCATAAAAAAAGAGAAATAAGAAACTAACTTAGATAGAGGAAAATAATTTTCATTTGAGTTATAGTGTACCACGTAACTGCCTTCACAGTTACCCTGCAAAGAAATGAGGCTTAGAAATTATTGCTTAGATTTACACCTTAAACTGCTAGGAGAGTCAAGATTTGGAAATGGGTATTTCTGATTTGAATCTCTATGTTTTTTTCCACCATGTTAAGTCTTTTTTAAATTTAAATATATTTTTATTGATTTTTAGAGAGAGAAGAGGGGAGAGGGAGAGAGAGAGAAACATCAATGATGAGAAACATCATTGATTGGCTGCCTACTGTACGCCCCCTACTGGGGAAGGAGCCCACAACCCTGGCATACGCCTGGACCAGGAATGGAACAGGCGACCTCTTGGTTCCTGGGTCAATGCTTAACAGCTGAGCCATGCCAGCCAGGCCCATGTTAGTCTTAAGCATGAATACAGTCCCCCTTTAAAGGGGGAAAATATTGTGAATCCCCAGTATTGGCCTAAATAATTGTATTTTATTAAGATATTTAATTTTAAATGTATATAGATATAAATTCCTTATGCTTATTGCTTGTATGCAAGTAACAAAAGTAAATTTATAAATGAAAAGCAAAACTACAAAACTAGTAAACATTAAATTTAGGATGATGGATGATGAAACAAAATCTTTCTTTGCATAGTGAATATATTATTGTCTGCCTTGGCAAGGTGTGGGGTTTTCTATATACTATATATCCTATGATAATTTAATTCCTATACCACTTTTCTGTGTTTGAATGCTTACAGGTTAGGTGGTTTGGCTTTCACTTGGTGTAAATATATCATTTACCTTATAAAACCATTCTGTGCCTTTTTCTTTAGCTCACTCTAATTCTACCATTGATTGTAGATATGAGGTGGTTATCCAGATGATCCAGAATATACTTTTAAAAAGTATATTATCAAAGTGAAAATATAAACTTTTAAAATATTCGTCAGGACTTATGGCTTACAGTCTACTGTTCCCCAGTTAAGTTTGAGAAATGTTGTTTGTATATAGTTTTTGAGTTGTTGATGTTTGATTTTAGAAATCAAAGCTAAAATCCAAATGGTATAGTGAACCAGTTAGTGCTGATGGTAATCTCTAAGTACAAAAGTATAGTTCTTAAACATGCAGATATTTCTGTCTAAACATCTACAAATTACTTACCCACCTGTAATAGGGTGATAGGTCATCACTTCCATATTATTTATTATGTGCAAGAATGAAGCAATTCACCCAGGTTGTCCTGTACCTATAACTAAGAAAAGAACAGTGTTTCAATATTGGTGGTATTGTATAAGAAACTCTTAAAAAATATAAAAACATAGAACATTTTTCATTTCTATCTTATGTTGTCTTTCATTTTATATTTAATTCATTTGTTTTAATTGTCACTATTCTAAATCAGATCCTTCATTTATCTCTGTCTTGAACTAATTACTGTAATTGCCTCCAGCCCAATAAAATACTGAGATGAAGTTAATCCTCCCAAAGTACAATTATGATCATGCCATTCCTCTATTGATTTCTAAGCTCCGTCAGGGCAAGGTCTTTAGTTAATTTCCCATAATGCCCTCCACAAAGTTGGGAAGCAATTAGTATTTGTAATTAAATGACTGATAAAAATCATAAGCTAGTTAAAAGCTAAGAGAACCTTGTAGATTTTCAGATGGAATGTAATTGCAGAGGATGTTGGTTAAAAGCTAAATCTAAGTATTTAAAAACTTACTTGAAAAGAAATTTCTCAGTTTGTTATGACAATATGTTTGTTGTTTTAAGTGTTGTAAAGACTCAAAGTGTTATATAAACCTGTGTTACTCAAGTAGACAAACCAAAGTTATCTTTCAGAGCCCAGTGTAAATAATGCTAGAGTTTTAGATGACACCCCTTCTCCATGGTTAATTTATTCACCCTTCAGATTTGTATTGAGAGGTTATCATTTGTCAGTTCTGTTCTAAGCACTGGGGAAAGGGGATACATTGGTGAAGACCAACACGTCCCTGTCCTCATGGAGGTTGCATTCTAAAAATGGGGGAGGAAAAATCAGACTATAAACAAATCTACTTTCTGATTGTGATAGATGCTATGATGGAAACACCCAGGTAATGCGATAGAATGCCTAAGGCAGTGGATATAAGAGTGGTGGTACTATTTTAGATAGATCTTAAAAACATAATACCATTTAGACATATTTATAAATCATTAAATTTTCTGAAATGAGTCCATCTTTAAGTCTCATCAGGCTTAAATAATTCAACTGTGTTCAGTTGTGAGGGGGAACCTCAATGTACTGACTTTCAGAATCGTACTTTGCCTTCAGAACTTTGTTTTATGAGCAAAAAATATTGGAGGCAAGGGGAATGCATTGTATATTCTGTATTCTTTTCCTACCATACCTTCACAGGTAACCCCTTGTACAGATGAGGTGAGCTAAAGCTCCTGTTGGCTTGTGATGATACACTTTTTTTTTTTTCTTGGAGTGGTCCTCCACACAGTGATGATGAGGTTGCATGTGCTATTACATATCTTCCATTCCTAAGGGATAAAATTAGAGTGATGATTCATGTAACTAGATGGCCATACCCTTTCCTGCCATGCCCACAAGCTCCTTTTGAGAGTTTCTTTTAGCATAGGCTGCTCTGCATGTGACCCTGATCGAAACAGATATGGATGTCTAATCATAAAGCAGTTTATCATAGTCTGCTCAGTGGCTTATGAGGTGTACTGGCTCCAGAGCTCTGCATAGCCCATACTGCATAGAGACTCGCTAAACCAATCAGACTGTTTCTTGTCGGAAGTTTGAACTTTATTCCTAGTTCAAAGGGAGACTCCTGGTCTCTTTTAACAGGACAAGTAAAAAGACATGTTCTTCCTA